GAGCATGGTTTGCCTTCATCTTCGTTCCGTAGTTCCACATTTCCTTCACCCTTTCTGAATCTGATCCAGGGCACAGCAAATGAACTAATTACTAGAGGAATGAATTCATAAAGAAACATCCCTTGTCATGTTATAGTGATGTGCAGCAAAAAGGAGATTGTGTGTCCAAGTAAGTTTGAGCTGTGTGCTTAATGACTCAAGATTCGTAGCCAACGCTTGGGGCTTGAATTTTTAACCTGCAATAATTTAGTCGAAGGTCCTCAGTCAGACATGATGTTCTGCTCTTTTATGCCTGCACTAGTCAGCTTTCTATAATGGTGACAAATGGCTGGGAAAGTTAACGGAAAAATGATTTGAGTCCATAGTCAGGTGACCCTGTTGCTTGGTTTGCAGCAGATCATGGTGGGAACACAGTGGAGAAGGCTGTTCACCTGTGAGCGCAGGGAAATAACAGGAAAGGGCAAAGCCAGGGCCTGGTTCCTTCTCCCCGACAGGCCCTGTTCCTGTGACTTTAGGATCTGCTGCCTGAATGTTCCACGTCTCTCAGTAGTGTCACGAGCCAAGAGACCAAGAGCGTTCAGATATTGTGCAAAATCCAAACTACAGCAGTGCTTTAAAAAAAAAAAAAAAAAAAAAAAAAAAAAGGCAAAAGTGAGAGTAAATTACTTTGACAAATGGTAAAAATTCAAGTGAAAAACATGATAGTTTTTTGAGAACTTTAAAACATTATGTGAATTTGATTTTTTTTATGTGACACCTAAAGTTCCCTATTAGGATTTCAAGCTAAATCAGTTGGTTAAGTTGGCACTTAAGATTAACTTTCTTAAATTTACAAGAAATCAGCATCTTTATTATCAATATTGATAGAACTTGATTTATATAGGTTATTGTTCATTCTCCAGACTAGCATGTACTGGGCATTTATAACAAATATAATCTCTTTTTAATCTAAGGACACAAGTAATACTCTTATCACCATTTAGGAAATTATTCTCTTGTAAGTGAAGTTTAAATTCATTTTCTCCACTTGTATTTCAAGTATTCCAGTGCAATTTTATAAGTACGCCTTTACCAGCAGCATGTGATGGTACTCTTATCATTGTTGCTCATGCAAAACTAAGGGCATTTCTCCACTCTATCAGAAATATGACAAAATTGTGCCCATTTTTTGAAATGTAGGTGGAAAAAAGAATTGGAAGCAAGATGTCTCATAGTTCAGAGCTCCAACATGAAAATAATTACTAATTTATCATAACAATGGCTACCATAACCCCAAGCAAACTTCTGAATTAACAAGTGGTTAAGTTTATTTTAGAGGTGCATATTTTTAAGTCCTGATATTTTGGAACTCTTCAATTTAACCATTAGAAGAACTCAGTCATCATTAGTTAGACTTAAGATGTGGTTTTTAAAGGTCAAGTTTCCATCAAAGAAAAAATGCAAGACACATCTCCAGAGTGTTCTTTTTTCCTTTCCTCCCAAAGATCTGATTGTGTGGAGGAGTTGCAGATCATAAAAGTTTGCATGGAAAATGTGTTTGAGGAATGCCTGAGAAAGACTGTAGATTTCATAGATAAATTATCTGAATTGTCTGAAGTCAGGGGTAAAGACATAATATCATTTTGAACAATGATTTCTTGGTAAATGAAATGAAGGAGTTAACTCACTTGATTTGATACATGAAGAAGGAAAGATTCACTCTAATTAAAACTACAAACAATGCAGATGCCTGCAGCTCTGTGCTGCAGACCCAGTAAGGATGGTACAGTAAGTGAAATGAAATGTACCTAGCAGCCCCAGCAGCAGGCTGGAGCCGTGTTCAGCAAAAGTAATTTAATTAGTGTTGATCATGACTCCAGATGATGGTGATTTGATAAGGAATAATTTAGTACTTAACAGCCTTTTACATGCACCAACTCCATGTGGGAAGGTAAAGCAAATTGCACAAAATGAATGTGCAGCTTTCACTTGCGCCTGTGCCAATGAGCTGGAAAACCGCCTGTTAGCAGACGCTCAGACTCTCAACCCCCAATGAAATACCCAAAATGCTTTCAACTCAGCCTTCTCTGGTGTGAGTCTCTAGACTACCGCTACTTAAGAATAAACAACAGAAGTCATTTTTGTGACATTAGATCTCCAAGAAGCAGCAAAATAAAATGCTCTAATGTCCTTGTTCAAAAGTTGTAAATCTTCATCCTGGCTTTCTCTTTTATTCTTCATATGTGCAATTAAAAAAAAAAAAAGAATCCTTGCCAACTCAGATTCATTGGCTTATTTACCTGGCTTGTGATGAGGAAAGACACAATCAGCTTTTGGGTCTTACACAGATCAAATATACAAAGAGAGGCTTCAACTGCTGGAACTGGAAAACTCTAGGGCTCTCTAAGTGTTGGCATCCAAAGAAAGGGAAGACATTGCTATATATATTTTTAAGAAGTCCTTTCAAGTGTTAGGCACACTCAAATGCTGTGCACACTAGATTCAGGCATTGAATAGTATCACAGTGGATTCAAAATTTGTACACTTATGAGAATTACCTAGACATTTTTTTTTTTTTTTTTGGCGGAACCAGGGATTGAACTCAGGCTCTTACGCTTGCCAGGGAAGCGCTTATTCCACTGAGCCATCTCCCCGGCCCCTACCTAGACATTTTTATAGCACACAAAATCTCAGTATGCCTGCCCTAGTGGATCAGAATTCCTGGGAGTGGTACATAGTTTGTTATGGCTGCCATCAGTTGAGTAATTTAGCAAGTGAAAATGGGTTGATCAGTCTCTAGTTTCTGGAGGTGAGAGCCCAAAATCAATGTGTGAATAGAGTTCAGAGGAACATGTGTGAGATCTTAGGTCCTGCTTTGCACCTGGCTTTCGGTGATGGGCCGCTTGTCCGTGCTTATCTCTGTCCCTCCTTGGCTTCTAGATTTGCCATGTTCACATGGTGTTTTCTGTGTGCATGTCTCTGTATCCGGCTTTCACCTTTTATAGGGTACCGGTCATGTTAGATTAGGGCCTACCTCAGTAAAGTCATCCGAATTTAATCAGTCTTCTAAACAAGAGCACAGGCTAATCAACAGAAGGCAGTTCTTTCCCACCCACTTACTTTTGCCTGTTTTAAAACTCCTATTACATACACTTTTTGGTGTTTGGCTTCTTTTTTTCAACTTTAGGCCTGTGAGACCGTCTACATTTTTAAATACATTGGTAGGTAATGTGTCCCTTGTGATTTCTACAAAACATTGATTCCATTGTATGCTGATAGATGATTTATCCACCCTCCTACCAATAATATTTTTGAGTCTTTGATCCTTGTTATCATGAATAAAACTTTCATGAAAGTCTTATACATGTCTCTTGATGAACATGTGTATTGCTTTCTTTTGCATATAAACTTTTTGGTGCATTTATTGGATTATAAGGTACCTGTAAAGATTGAACATTTTAGATTCCTTGTGTTTTTTTTTGTTTGTTTTTGTTTTTGTTTTGTTTTGTTTTGCTTTGCTTTTGTTTTTGTTTTTGACTGGGAATCAAACTCAGTATCTTAAACATTTTAAAAATTAAAAGGGCTGGGGAGATGGCTCAGTAGAATAAGCACTTTCCTGGCAAGCGCAAGGGCCTGAGTTTAATCCCTGGTTCCGCAAAAATAAATAAATAAATAAAATTTTGCTTGTGTGGTGGTATATGGCTTTAATTCCAGCATGCAGGAGGCTGAAAAGCAGGAGGACCATGAGTTTGAGCTACATAGTGAATGTGAGGCCGTGCTGGGCTACTACAAAAGAAAACAAAACAAGCAAAAGCCTAAATTCATTCTTGTATCTTTTTCCCCTCTTATTAAAAAAAAAAAGTGAACTTGCCATTAATACTAAAATTTTGATTTTCTGATAGAATCTATAATTTGTTTTTTTTTTTCAATTTCATACTGAAGCATAAAATCATACAAGGAGTTAGATGTTTCCTTCCGAGGGAGATACCAGGGCTTGCATTCCAAGTAGCCACTTTACCACTTGGCTGCATCATTAGCTTTTAAACACTTTTTTTTTTCTTGTATTTTGAGACCTTTGGTAAATTGCTCAATCTGGCCTCAAATCTGCAATCTTTCTATTTTACCCTCTTCAATAGCTGGGATTACAGTTGTGTACTACCATGCCTGGTTGCCCCTTGGTTTTTAAAACTATGAAATATGCGTATTTATATGTAAATAAAATTACTTCTGTAAGTAAACTTAGATTTACATATAAATATGAATCTTTCAAATACACATATTTATTCTAGTCTTCATATTTTATGATATAACCTCTGTATTATAGTAAGCCTGAGTGAACACAAGTAAACCATGACTATACATTATGTCATATGTAAAAGGGAAAATATCACTTGATATAGAAAAATTATTTTATAATAGGTTACATGTAGCAAATAAGTTTCATATGTCTTTCATATTTTGCTTTCACAATTCTGGTAGGCAAGTTTTTTTTATTTTATTTTATAAGTAAACATCATCCTTCAATGTATTGAGTCCTTTGCCAAAATTTCACAAATTTCCTCTAGATCTACATCTGGGTTTTCTCTGTCACAGTCCAGCTGCCCTTTCATTAAACTGTTATAATTGATGCATTTGAGGTGTTTCTTTTCCAATAATGCTTGAAATTATATTCCAGACTTCATCTGATTCTTGACCAAACATATGTCTTTTTTCTCTGTTGTAGTTGTTGGAAATTCTTCTCAAATGTCTTCAAAATTTTTCTTTTTGAAAATTGAGCTTCTAATATTGTTCATATTAGCTAAACAAGTAAAAAGTGACTTGATTTACTTTAAATGAAAATCTGGTCCTATATTTTATTATGCAATACAAGCAGAAAGTAGTATACAGCAAGTCTTTTTGCCCCAGAAATGCATCAAAAGTGCTTTTTGTTACACATGGGAGTTAATGCGAAATGTTAATGACATTTTAAACGAGAGAAGTAACCACATCTAAATTTGGTGGATATTTTTGTTTTCTTTCAGTGGCTTTCCATGGCCTACCACTGAAAATCAAGAAAGAGCCCCACAGCCCATGCTCAGAACTCGGCTCGGCCTGCAGTCAAGAGCAGCCCTTCAAGTTCAGCTATGGAGAAAAGTGCCTGTACAATGTCGGGTGAGGCAGCCATTCTGTGCATATGAAGTAGCGGTTCTTACTGAAGTAAAAGGCCCGACATAACATAACATAAGGTTTCCAGTCCTACTTATGAGTTACATCCTCAGTATGCAACAAGCTAATTAGGTGATGCATTTAGTAGAACACAAAAGAAGCAGTTACTATACAATTACACGCTTTTTTGAATCATTTTAAGGCAATAATTTTCATTCAAATCGTTAGTTGCCTTTCTTCTGTACTGATGCATCTTGGGTTTGCAAAGACGCTCATATTTGGCACAAGCAGCTTTTGAAAGTTTCCATTAGAATGAATGCATTATGCACTTTAGATAGAGACTTGGTAGGAAAAAAAACGAAACATTTGGCAAGCCTGAGAAGTACATTAGTTATCTGACGGGCTTGCGAATGATCTATAAGATGCCTTCATAGACAATTGCAATAAAACCAGAATTTTATAAGACTTAGCAGGGGCTATTATCTATTAAAAAGCTAGTCATTCTGTGATAATAAGGGTGGTGCAGTAAAAGCACATTGTTCATTTGTTCGAAAATTTGATAACATATATGTTCATTAAAAACCCTTCACAGTAAATTGCATGCTTTTACTTTTCATATGGACCTCTAATTGCATAAAGAAAAAGTTGGCTTTGTCTACTGAATATTACTCTCAATTACAGGACAAACTTGGTTCTTAAGTGGAGTTGGTTTGGAAACTTATAAAACTGATTCAAAATATTTGCCATGTTTTATAAGTTATATCAATTAGGCTCATAGTGCATTATGATCCAGAGGCTTTTTCAGTTTCTTCATACATTTATTGCATTCATTCTTAGTATCTAAGAAGGTTCTTGAAATTCAGGTTTGTACCATCTCAGTGCAGCCGACCAATGTGCAGGTATTTTATTGTTATTTGTTCTAGCAAATTTACCTTTTATATTTGCTTTTTGAAGAGATTCACCAGACTCAGAAATTTATGAGCCATCTCAGACGAAACTTCAAAGCTTTTATATGAAAAAGTATCTCATTGCTATGAAGGCACACTGAATTCAGCTAAAAGAATATTGATCGATTTGAATTTTATAGTTTAGTGGGGGTATGTTTTTGGCATTGTTCATAAAGTGCTCTGTTTCCACAGCATGGATATTTAACATACTAAAGAATTTCCAATCAATAAACCAGTTAGATATAAAACTGTCTTTGCATTTCAATACTGATCAGAAATGGGTCCAGGGAGATGGCTCAGTAGAATAAGCACTTCCCTGGCAAGCGCAAGGGCCTGAGTTCAATCCTCAGTTCTGCAAAAAAAAAAAAAAAAAAAAAAAGAAAGGAAAGGTTGATCAGAACAGAGACTGTGAAATCTTGTTGTTCTATATCAGGTATCTGACTTCCAGAAATTAACTATAGAACAATTACCCAAATACTTTGAAACTTTTGGGGATTGGTAAGTCTCACAACAATATATAGTATATGCCATAAATTCTGGCACTTCTAGCTTTTTGAAGACAATATAATTTAATGCAATGTTGTGTAGAGAGAAGAGGCAATACTTAAATTGAAAATATGTCTGCTGATTTTTGATAGAAATGAGACAGGTGAGCCATTTTATAAAAATTATTTGCATTCAGATATAAATGCAAAGGACACAGGTGGAACCAATCCTGAGGGTAAGTACAACTGACTTTGCTTTAAAGCTATTGGGGCCGGGGAGATGGCTCAGTAGAGTAAGTGCTTGCCTGGCAAGTGCAAGGGCCTGAGTTCAAACCCTGATTCCGCAGAAAGAAAGAAAGAGAGAAAGAAAGAAAGAAAAGAAAAGAAAGAAAGAAAGAAAGAAAGAAAGAAAGAAAGAAAGAAAGAAAGAAAAAAGCTATGTACATATATGTAGCATGTACTCTTTCATTTTAACACAGTATTCCTTCATTTGTAAATATTTTTGTATTGATCTTATAAATTATTATATTTATCAAGTTGAAAAAGGAATATTTCTTTTTTAAGAAAAAATAAATATTGGGTACATTTCTTTTTCTTTTTGCAGTCCTGAAGATTGAACCTAGGGCCCTGAATGTACTAGAGAAGCATTCTGCCAATCAGCTACATCCTCAGGCCTTGTTTATTTTAAGATAAGATTTTGCTAAACCACCCAGAATGACCCTGAACTTGTGATCCTCCTGCCTCGGTGTCCCAAGAAGCTGGCATGGCAAGCTTGGGTCATCACCATGCAAAACTTGATTAATATTCTTTTGAAGGAAGCATAACAGTTTCATCTAGAAATGTCCTTTTTGTTCAGACATTTAGGTAAAATCTGTCTTTAGTGAAACAGTGATTACAAAACTTAAATCATATCCCCCAAAGCCACATATAGGAAGCAATTTAAATTCATAATATACAATCAAACTTACTCATCTTATTTTTTGTAAGTTTGAGTGGAAGCTAGACTATGATAATATAATTTCATTCTTAATAGCATTATTTTGTGCTGGTATTTGGAAAAAGTTTAAAGATATCAGAAACATTTTAAATTTTTAATTTAATTTTTTAATTTGTCTCATTAATCTTTATTAGCCTATCTGGAGAAATTAATGTCAAGCATTATTTATTTATTCTAAAATATTTTTAAAAGAAAAACATCACTGCCTTTAAACTCCACCAGAAATAAAGATAAACCCATTAAAGCCTCCTCCTATTGACCTGATGGATAGCTCTTCTCTTAAAATATAATATGAATAAATCTAGCATCAGAACTGTGAGCTCACTGCAGCACTGCATTTACTAAAATACTATCAGAAGTATTTCGTGATTTAAGATTTAAAAGATTCCTCCAACTGGCTCGTGGAATATGCCAAAACTAGGTGAAATGTGGGGACAAACATGATGAACACATAATACACTCATTGAGGCCCAATATTTTATAGAATTAATAAGCACCAATAAAAATACATTTAAAAGAAGATTAAAATACCATTGTTTTCATTGGTAATGATTTTCCTAATACTTAATTATAGCATATGCTTTAAAATGCATACTTCGTATGCACTACCACAAGATTTCTTAGTAATTATTCTACTTTCTGTTCAATAGTATTATGAATCTGAAGTCTACGTATTCTGGGACTAAAAAATAAAAGCATGAAATTTTAATTTCCTGACGTCCTAAATTAAACTATTTTTTCCCTTGGCATGAAAATACATTTTTTAAAAAACAGCTTCAAAACAACCCGAATGTGCTCTTTCCCTTGTGTCCTGGGCAGTGCCTACGATCAGAAGCCACAAGTGGGAATGAGGCCCTCCAGCCCGCCCACGCCGTCCAGCACTCCAGTGTCTCCGCTGCACCATGCATCTCCTCACGCGACTCACACTCCGAAACCTGACCGAGTCTTCCCTGCTCACCTCCCTCCATCGCAGTCCATCCCAGATAACAGCTACCCCATGGATCACAGGTAAGCTGCCGATCCTGCGCTTGCAAAGCCCACTCCTGCCTTCTTGCAGGAAACTGCTATTAGTAATTCTGAAGGCCTGTAGTAGTTTTAAGGTGAGCGTACTAATTTTGCACATCTGTGCAAAATATTTTTAGAAAGAGCTTGCTTTATATATACTTTTAAATAATTTGTGGAGAAGGTCATTTTAAATCGCTCTCTTTATAAACATTTAAATTGGTTGCTAAAATGGAAAATTAATCTATACACTGACATTTGAACATTTCCTTTTCACTTTGCTTGAATTAAATTGCTTCACTTAAACTTTACATCAGATTATCCCATTTCTGTGAGCATATGTGTGTACTTGTTCTGTAAAGCTAGGAGACTAATTTTAGTAGGTGGCTTATGGAATTGGGTTCTTTACCTTAGGTTGAATGATGTGTGTGTGTGTGTGTGTGTGTGTGTGTGTGTGTGTGTATAAATATATAACTTTCTTTATTATAGCAATTTACTGGCCTTTCTAAGTGACATCTTTAGTGATATGTAATATCACTAAACCCATGACCTTGGACATTGAGAATATACAGATAAAGAGTTAATATGTTGCACAAATGAGCAAGATAAGAGTCAGAGTACAGAACCAGAGACAACAAGGTAGCATAGCATTGTTGACTCTTGGAAATGAAGAAATTCATCTTTACATAAATTATTGGAAGAATTCTAAAGGCTCTAACATACTGCCTCAAGATATGACTTAAAATACAAGTTGTTAACAGTCAGCAAAATGCCTTCTCCCTTTCTTTCTTTCTTTCTTTCTTTCTTTCTTTCTTTCTTTCTTTCTTTCTTTTCTTTTTTTTTTCCTTTTTCTTTTTCTGTATTTGGGACAGGGTCTACAGAGTCTCACTACACAGCTTCGGCTCCTAGTGATCCTCCTATTTTCAGCCTCCCAAGTGCTGAGCTTACAGGTGCACACCACCACGCCCAGTCTTGATTGCCTTCTCAGTGCACCCTACCAGCTGGGCCCGCATGGCATACTGGGGATAGAGCCACTGCACTCTGTCTAAGTAGGCACTTTAGTCCACTGAGCTATCAGGAGGGACTTCCCTTCTCCCTTTCCATATTCCAACCACTAGTGTTCTAATAAATGTTCAACAACAGACTAAACAGGAGAAAATCATGCTGGTCTTACCTGTAGCATTTGCTGGATTGGTGATATAAAACTGACCCAGGGGTGACCATGAGCTGTCACTGGGACTACTAAGTGCCATCATCCACTACTGTATCTTACCAATGTAGGAGTTACAACCCCAAGAGCATAATTAATTCTGAAGTAAAATAAACAGAAGGTGATGAGTTTTGAGTTTGCATTCCCTTTGTTTTTAATATATTTAATTGTGGAGTTATATAATTCACTTTTTTGTGCTAGTGCTTACACTTGGCTCAAAGAATCCCTGAACATTTAACCACACATCAGAAGCATTACTGTCTCTGATGCATACCTGTCAAATAACTTAGCCCAAAGAATCCTGGAGGTCAGCAAATGAAAGCAGAGACATGGCCCAGGAAATGTTCTAGATAGAAGGGAGCCCTCAGATCTGTTTCTGGTTGATTTAACGGACCCTGTTTCAAAATCAGGATCTCTTACCAAGAACGGAGGCACATGCCTATCATCCAAGCTCTTGGGAGGCTGAGGCAGAAGGGCCACTGTGAATTCGAGGTCAACCTGGATTACATTGTGAGACCCTGTGTCAGAAAACAAAAAGAAAAAAGAAATTCAGGAGGGTGTGTGTGTGTGTGTGTGTGTGTGTGTGTGTGTGTATAAAGGAGTATGGCAAAAGCCTTATTTCCAGCATGAACCTCTACCATGTCTTTTCTAACTTTGTTTCCACCCCTAAGTCCTCTGGTGCTTTAGTTATTGGATGTTTCCTATTTTCTTTCCTTTCTCACCCCACAGATTTGCATCTTTGTCAGGGAGGAACGGAATGCACATCTGTGTAAACAGTTTTGTAAATACAGACGAAAGCATGCGTAGCGCAGGGTGGGTCACTAAACAGGCACGCACTGTGTAGGGCCAGAAGGAGAAGAGTGTATGAACAAAGAGAGTGTTCCTTTCAGTAACTACCCAGAGTTCTCCATGACCGAGACCCTCCTACTTCGGAAGAGTGCTGCGATTTCAGTGATATCATTTGCTTCTTGGGCAGCCTGGTTATTTCTTGGGGCAGGTGACTGCTGAGTAAGCAGTGTGCCTGTTTTTAGGTGACCTAACTTGAAATCCTTCAGCCAAATCCATTTTAGTGTCTCAACTTGAAGTCAGTTATTTGAGACTGAGAACAGCTGGCCCGGAATGGCAAGAGGGTAGCTCGGGGTCTTTTCCCACTGCCCCCCACTGTGTGCTGGGGGCAGTACCAGCTGGCCCATCCCGGGAAAATCTCTGAAGCCGTATGTTTCTGAGGAGGGTTTCTTAGAGGGTTTTGGCCAACAAATGACAACGCTTTGGTTATAAAAGGCAAATCTGCTCCAGGAACAGATCCTCCCAGAGAGCCCCCTCCAGCCCGGCACCCCGCCTCTCCCTGGGAACGCTCTTGGCCAACTGGCCTGTGGTCTGCTTCCTTTCCTCAGCCTCGCTCCCCTCCTTAAGCCAGCCCCCTGGCACCTTTTCCTGGACCCACTGTGCAAGAGCCCTGTCTCTCTTCCCCTCTGCCCCTAATCCCCGCCATTTCTACCTTGCTTTTCATTACCCAGGAGTTCACTGACATGCTCTCCTTATCCATGAACTTTCTTCCAAGTATTTTGTTTCTCTTTCTCTTTTCTTTCTTTCTTGTATGGTATATTGAGCCTCACCTTGAGCTACCATCTATAGTCCCTTTTATTTATTTTTTTATTGTGAGACCTCATCTCGCTAAGTTGGTATATTTTGCAGGGTTGGCTTGAACTGTGATCCTCCAGCCTCAGCCTCCCAAGCTGCTGGGATAATAGGAGTGGGCCACCATGCCTGGCCCAGAAGCTTCTTCAGTTCCTTTGTCATAGCCATTCATTGGTCACTGGCTTACAATAATCGCATCAAAATGTGCAACCTTTCATAAAATGAACAATGCCATCCCCAGCAAGTAACAACTGAAATCAGGTCAATTCATATAAACAAATGGCTTGATTCTTTACAAAGCTCTCAGTACAAGCATTATTAACTTCCTTTTAAGGCTTCACAAGTGAGCCAGTTTCTTATTTTATCTTCAGGTTACAATTTTCTGATTCATTCCTTGACAGTTCTTAATGATAATCTCTGATTCTTTTTTTGGCTAATGAAATAAGCAAGAGAAAGGAAATGAATGCAGTGCCAGCCAGCCTGTTTTGCAGTACCCGAGTTTCTAAGTTTATTTTCTGCAGGTGTAGGGAGCATCTTAGTGTTTCCTGTGGCGGCCGGTGAGCCAAGGGTTAAGGCAGAGGACGGCGTGTTCTTAGAAATGCTGCAGCAATTGCTTGGCATTCTTTAGCTTTTACCTTATTTTCATTTAACATTACTGAAATTAAATGCTAACTTTGCAAATTAAAGTCTCAGGAATGCTTTTAGATGGGGAAGGGGGGTTGATAGGTTTATATTTGCTCATAGATATGTTTTATGGGTTATTTTTAAGCACTCCTGGGGCATTTTTAGAACACTTTTAAATCTTTAATTAATCCACATCTTTGTGGTGGGTCAATGATATTGTGGATGAGAAACACAGAAGAGAAGGATATGTGATCAGCCAATCATTACAAAGAATAACCAAGAAAGGCTCACAGGACTCACGTTCGGCCTTCTACCAAAGCCTCGGAGATTCTTGCTGGTCCACAGACGTGCCCCAAGTCTGGGCAATGCACAGCTGCCCCTTGGGTGGTCACTGCATATTGATGCTTATTTGTATCAATTTGACAGTTTGTTTGAATGTATTGGAAGCCAACATCTCTGTTGCTGTGTAATAGGAAAGAAATAGCCCTTGAATTAAATTCTTGGATTTAAGTTTGTATAATACAAAGCTTTATTTCTCACTGAGACCCTATTTGTTCATTTATTTAGTACCAGGGATGGAACTCAGGACCTTGCCCTTGTCAGGCAGGTACTTAAGCCACTGAGCTATCTCCCTGGCTCTTATTTCTCACTAGAACACAGTGTTAATTGTGACATTATTAAGGCATTCAATGACTTACCTATATTCAAAGAGAATCACTGCAAAAGCACTGGTTTTTTTTTTTTTTCTTTAACTAGCAGTCCTGGAAGAAAACTCATTTTATAGGTTTTTGTTTACCTGCTTCGTGATTAATTTCATAAAAGAATTAGGAGCTAGAGGGTACAGTTTGAGAACAAACTGTGTTTTTCCTGCTTTGCTTTTTGTATTTTGTGATTGAAGAATCTTTTTCTTGTGGAAAAGTATATAAATGTCCAAACTGACTTAAAATTGGGCAATTGGGCTCTTAGGGGCCATATTGACTTAGGAAGGTCCTTGTGTCATTACTCACAGGACACCTTTACACTGGCACATGTTGAAATAGTGGTTATGAGCAGTGAGCAATAGGTTAGAAGGGGGACCTAAGCCATCCTACAATCAAGAAATATCGTGCTACCGACCTAGGACAGAGGCATCTAGTAGTCATTAAATATTTACACTCCGGCTCCATTGGTATTATGTTCATTGACTAAGTAGTAAAAATTGTAGCAGCATTTTAAAGAATATCCTGTTACCATTTCAACTGAAACACGTTCTCTTCTTCCCCAGATTTCGCCGCCAGCTCTCTGAACCCTGTAATTCCTTTCCTCCTTTGCCGACAATGCCACGGGAAGGACGTCCTATGTACCAACGCCAGATGTCTGAGCCAAACATCCCCTTCCCGCCACAAGGCTTTAAGCAAGAGTACCATGACCCAGTATACGAACACAACACCATGGTTGGTGGTGCGGCCAGCCAAAGCTTCCCCCCACCTCTGATGATAAAACAGGAGCCCAGAGATTTTGCATACGATTCAGGTAGGCCCATGCTTTGATTTAATTATGTCACATAGCTTTCACCCTCCCCTGTCCATTTGTTCTCTGTTGTTTTCTGGCTGCGCAGCTCCTGACTTTGTTTTTAAAGTGGAATCTTTCTGGTTTTTTAACCTGTGGTTGAAACTTTCTTTATATGTGAAAGGTTAGACAATCAAATCATTTTGCCATGAGCCAATATCTGGAAACAAAGCCATTCAAATGAAAAGTGTGATTTGCACAATTATGCACTTACATGTGAATTTATAATCCAAGAGGGCTAAAAGTACATTAGGAAATATTTCAGAAGTGGTTGTTCAGGTTTTCTTGATTCTATGATTGCTTTCCTCCATTGTTGCTACTTTGGTGCTATTTAAAAACTATGTTTATGCAAAGTAATATTCCTCTACACTGGTTAAAATAAATTATTAGGGTCAAAGATTCCCAGGGTTCCTAAGTAAGAATTCTTACATATTAGAACAGAAATAGCAAAATACAGACACATGGTTCTTTCCTACCACTCAGCTTTGTCTCACTGAGCTAGACACTACTGCAAAGTGTGGTCTGTCGAGGCGAGGGGCTTCCTGAAAGCAAGAAGGGCTTAAAATTGATTCCAAATGTTACAACCAGTTTGCCAACATTTAATTTTAAAACTTTAGAAAAATTACTAAACTCATCTCCACCGAGATTTTTCCTGCTATAATATGGGAAATCAGTACATCTGCTCTCTTTCCCCCTCCTCAGGTAATTTTTTTAAATGGATGGAGTAAGAACTAATGTTTATGAGGAGGGAAACTGGTACATCTAATTATTATCGTTATTGCAACCACAGACAACAGATAGCTGTGGACATGGAAGTATTTGAGAGCAGTGTTATAGTGTTATTCTCTTTAGTCTGGATGCAAAGGTACAGGCATTCTTTAGGAAGGGACTCTTGCTTTTGTAGGACAATAAAATGGCACCCTATAACAGGGACTTTCTCTCCCACCATCCTTAGCACCCTTCTTCACTGAGTATAAGTTCAAAGAATTAAGGGGAATAATGGCCCCCCAGACCCACAGCCCAGCTGTGTTGAGTCCACTTGAGCAGGTCATGAGACCTTGCTTTCTGAGGGTGGAACGTATTACTTTTGCTTGTACCGTAGGATTGTTCATGAGGCAGCTGTGTGTGAGAGGATGAGGCTGAGCTTGGACGTGCCCTCAAGGTTAGGTGTGAGGTCTCCACTGTGCAGTATGACACTGGGTTGAGAAATGGGGCAACGGGAATGAGGCCTGGATGTTGGCTTGCTCCATAGCGTTCTCTTAGAGGTGAATCCCAAGCAGTTCCCTCAAGTGCTAAGTTCGATCTGGCTTTCTGAGTTGTATCACCACGCCACATTTTTAAGATGGAGAAATGGGCCAGTGAGATAGCTCAGTAGACTAAGCGCCTGCTTTGGCAGCTCAGGGAATAGGGTTTGGTCCTCAGTTCCACATGACACACCAGCCCTGCCCCACAGCCACGCTGAACTGACCACCAGATCTGGGCATGGTGGTGCATGCCTGTAATCCCAGCACTGGGGTGGTTGAAAACAGGAGGATTACACCAGGAGTCTGAGCTGTGTAGCAAGACCCTGTACCAAATACATGAATGAAAAATAAATAAATACATAAAACAAATAAAATGAGTATTTATTTAAAAAAATGGAGAGAACAGAATATATTTATCAGTTTGTGTGACTGACTTATAATTTAAGATTTTTAAATATATGGCATAAGAGCCTTTATTTCAACTTTTGCCCACAGTCTGCAGATTGGGGCTGATCTAGAATTTTCTCTTAGAGGCTTCGTTTCAGAACTTTTTTTCTATTTGCCCATTGATATCCATGTTAAGATTATGCAAGTTAATTCATCTCTATTATGTATAGAACACACTTGTATTTGTAGGTTTCAAATCCTTTTCACGAACTTACCCTTGTCTTACAAACTATAGGTTAATGTATCACAGATTTCAAATTCATTCAGTGTCTCAAGGTGTACAATACATGGATATGGTGTAAATTAGCCCAGATAATCACCCATCGGGACTTACACAGCATGGCATTTAAACAGCTTATGTGTTTTTAAACTTTTATATGAGTAATATGAAAACATAACATTAAAACGTGACCCTTTTGTGTGATTTGCTTTCTCCTTATCGTATATTTATGTGACATGTCTGATTATATGTAGCATTGAGCATTTACAACTTTTTTTGAGATGGGAATCAAACAGGATACGTAAGGATTCTAATGAGATCAAAACAGAGCAGCTGGCACTGTAAGAGTTAATTGCAGCTTTTGCAGCCATGTGCACTGTGGACCTCAGAACTTGTCACTGTGTGATCCTCAAAGCAGAGACTCTAATCACTCAGAAGCTTGAAAGCAAGGTCTTGCATCCTGTTTTAAAGAATAGTAAGGTGTCTTTTCTAAGGGTGCCATTTATTTTGCAAATGTCTTGGAAAACACTTGTTGAATAGTTGAGGAGCTATTACCTTATGGTATTTTCTTCCATATATATATATATATATATATATATATATATTTATTTATTTATTTATTTATTTTTTTTGTGGGACCGGGGATTGAACTCAGGCCCTTGCGCTTGCCAGGGAAGCACTTATTCCACTGAGCCATCTCCCCGGCCCCTCTAATTATATTTTAAATCACTGATATACCACAGTTTTGAATTAAAATTTCAAAATTGCTAATAAGCCTCATTTTGTTATTTGAATAGGTAAATGGTAAAGGTGAAGCTTTTGCATTTGATTTAAAATAAATGTAGTGACTCTTAGTCTAGGCCTGTGAATTTTTTTTATTCTTTTTAAAACAAAAATAGGGACAAGAAAAATAATTAATCTTGTTTCAAAATACATTTTACTTGCCGCCAAACTACTGCTTTGAAATCAACACCTCTAACTTTGTTCTATATTGTAGTTGACATTTATGATCTCTAATTATTTTGTTTTGTCTTAATTACTTCTTTTATCCTTGGTGAGAGTGTAGTAAATAACCTTTTAATAGATCAAATGCATTTATAACTGAAACCTTGATACACTTTTGCTTACTGGTGTTGAACAAACAGCATATTAGGAAATATTTTATGTGTGGTTTAAAAACATTACAGAAAAATGTTTTCTAGGTTACTTAACTCAGTATCTGTGCTCCAAATGTTAACCTTTCAGAAAGCCTTGGAGGATTCTATTACTTAATTCAATATACCATAAATGTTATGACAATAAAAGATGGCTTGTAAGGGAGAAGGCAGCATGATTGTGCTCTAATAAAGCCTGACATTAATTATGACATGGGAAATGGAAGGTCTATTAGTTATAATTATAATTACAGGAATGCAATTTCAACTGCCGAATATTTAAGATAAAAAATTCAAAATATTATGTTAGTAGAGGAGATAATATTTTTTCAGAGACAAGAAAAAGCCTTTCATCAGAAGACAGAGAGGACTTAAGAAATAGTTATTTTTGTGTTTGGCTGTTTGGTTGGTGAGACAGTGTCTCCCTATGTAGGTCAGGCTGACGTTAAACTCATAGGCCTCTACCTGTCTTGGCCTCCTGAATCCTGGGGTTAGGGACGTGCACCACCACGTGTGGCAAAAAGTAGTCCAACTTGGTGAGCTAAAGAACCAGTGTGGTGAGCCAATACAGTGGCATCATGATTGTGCTGCTGTGTCATACCATAAAGTCCAGCGTGACATGCCACTGTCACAGCATTCTCTCTTCCAGCCTCACGGTGCTCCAGAAAGTGCACATGTGTCTCATGTTTGTTGGTTGGCTTGCCCAAGTCCAACAGGATAATTTTGTTCTTTCTTCTTTTCCCTCTGTAGTCAAGTGGCCACATAAAGTGAAATCTGTATTGAGAGATTTATTTGGAGCACTTTACACAAAGCCCCTTATATCAGATTTTCATAGATCAATAGCTATTTTCTCATTTTCATCTCATGTTGAAGGTTTTGAAGGCTTAGAAAGTCTGACAAAGCAGATATTTTAGTGTTTGTAACAACGTATTTTATTGGAGTTGTGTGTGTTGGTTGGTTACTACTATTTTATTCTGTTTCCTTTGATTTCATTTTCTGAGAGCTTAGAACATTTTTAGGGGGCTGTGGGAACCTAAAACTAAAACTCTGACTGAAAAATATTGACATGAAATTTTCATATACTTTGATTAGATAATTTACTCTCAGGAATTGCTGCTGTGAAATAGTGAGAGATACCCAGTGAATGCTCGGGAGAAGCAGAGTGAAATATTCTTAGAATTCATAGAATGGTGAAATAAGTTATGACTACTAGTGATAGAAATATTCCCTAGTCTGTAGAAGTCAGTTAAATTTCTTTATTAATGAAATAAGACTACTGAGGTGAAAATAAAAGGTATGTAAGGCATGATTACAAAGAAAGAGTCAGTACAGATTAATGGTGTAGTAGGGAATTGTGTGTTTTTTTTTTTTTGAAGTGCTTTTTATTTTACTACTTTGATGGGGCCGGGGAGATGGCTCAGTGGAAAAAGTGCTTCCCTGGCAAGAGCAAGGGCATGAGTTCAAACCCTGGTTCTGCCAAAAAATAAAAAATAAATAA